AATTTGTGGTTCAGGTTCAGGTTCAGTTCAGGTTCATTGAACCTAAATTTGAACTGAACTGAACCTAGGAACCCTAGAAGTACTGCAGCCTATATATAGTCTATAATCCATACATATATATTTTACAAGGCCTATGCATCCTATACAACCTACACACCTCTGTAAGGTTTATACAACCTATACCACCCAAACAACCCACTTATTTTTAAAGAACCTATTAGATTTCTTTTTCTTTTTCTCTAAAACATGTATTTAAAGGTATTATTTTTACCTCTTTGTAATAACAAGTTCAATACATAAAATTCTTAAGTTCTTTATTAAATAAATACATAATTATATAAATAATATAAAAATGATCTTTGTCTGAATGCCTTCTGTGTAAAACCCATCCCTCCGGCACACGTTGCGACTTAATTCTTGGTATTCTCAATAGAATATCCAGAATTTTCACCACATTTGGCAACAACGACAGAACCACTAGTCACCTACACGGAGGATTCGGCGAAGAATCGTCATATTCGTTTCTACACTAAATACCCAAATCCCATATATACTCCAAACTCTAAACTAGTTATATCCAAATCTTACATGTCATACTGTTTCCCCACACTAATTTCACAATTCATCCACATTCACATCCCAATTCATGCATTTCCGTTTCTATACGCTTCGCTACACCTCACGCCTCAATTCTATGAGAGCATAATCGTTTCCTATACCAATGCCCAATACACATGGTCTCGCACGTTTCATATTCCGTACCTGCTACCTATAATACCCTACTCAAAGAATGTTAGTAGGAAAATACACTAATGAAAAAAAAAAAAAAAATTTTTTTAGATAGTATAATGCAAGAGGCCTTATTTATACCCTATGCCTTGCAGTTCAAACCTGAGACAAGATAGAAACTCGAAGAAATTCATACTTTCTCTCGGCACTGGTACATTCATCTCTGCCCATCCCAAGAGTAATTCCAGCAATTCATGTTTCCAAGCCCAGTGTAGAATAATCGACAACAATTGTGAATCTCAAGTTTGGCATTACCTGACCTAAAAAAAAAAAAAAAGGGAAGAGAAGTAAAAAACAGTATAATATGTAAAAGGATATGCCTGTTTGTGTAGGTCCTGCATTCTATGTCCAATTCTACATATGCTTCTTGTTCATAAAACACAGTTTTATGCTCCATATTCGCTCTACCTAATATGGCCTAGATAAGAGTAAAGTATTAGTGAAAAGAACAGTAGATAAAAAATAATAATAATGATAATAATAATAACACTATACACACTATACTTACTTCTAGTATATGAGTTTCCTTTTTTTTATCCATAATTCTCCCACACTCAATTCTCCTAGCATTAACCCGATTCGAAGTAGTCTCGACCAGTTGCCCCTTAATAAGTTGAAACAGTTAAATATTAGTACGGCACCTAGAAAAAAAAAAAAAAAAAAAGCCCTGGCATTCATATACACATATAAAACCGGTAGCTAGGAATAATAATAAGCCAAAATACGCGCCCTTATGCTTACCCGGTTGCAAGACTCTAGTCAGAAGCACTCCCGGAAGAGCCCCCGTGAATGTACTTGAATAGAGTCTTATGTTGCTCAGCTCAATACTGGAAGGAAAGAATGGTCGGATCATAGATAGAAGCTAAGAAAAGAGAGAAAAGATCAGTTAAATAAATAAATAAATAAATAAAAAAACTGGTTAAGAATTATGGGTCCCGACAAGCCCAAAAGCCTTGCATAACTCCCAGGAAGAAGCTACGAAAAGAAGAGACAGTTGGTAAAACTCTAGGGTTCAAGACAACTCTGCCGGCAATGAAAGAAGTTCAAGGAAAAATTTACAAAATCTAAAAATGATGTCATACTTCAGAATTCTTTTTACGCTAGAAGATCTTGAATCCCTGGACCTAAAGAATAAACTATAAAAGACTTTGAGAAATCGCGAATATGCTGAAACCATGACAGATCTACTCTAGCAGATGTTGGTAACGTGAAGCAAGCTGAAAAAAGAAAAACACCAACAAGCGAACTATAAAAATCTGAAAATAAGTTGGAGATGAAGCTCCAAAAAAAAAAAAAACCAGAAGATCTAAAAAGTAAATGAACAACCTACATAAAAACTGGCCTAATGATGAAGTATAAAAATC